TTATTATTATTATTATGTAGCTGTTTTCTCCTTCACTGTAACGTTGTCTTTATCAGATTTAACCACCCATGTCTTTCATTTGTGCTGATTTTTCTTTGTCTCACCTTGGCATCCATTTCTCCATGTCTTGCTTTGTTTGACTTTATCTCAAACATCCCATTTCTGTCACTTCTTTATGTTGTTAAAAAAAGTTTTWATGTTTCTTTTGTTCATCAGACGCGGGAGGCTGTATTCACGCTGTCTGCCATGACAGCTGGGATCAGGCGGAACTGGATTGAGGTTTTAAAGAAGTGCATCAGACCCAGCAGCTCTCCAGACCTCACCCAGTAAGTACCTGCAGCATAGCTAGCTACAACAAAAAAAGTTAGCAGGATGTGAAAAAAATCAAATTGTTGCATTTAATAAGGCTTTTATTGTAGTTTATATGAACACAAACTAATTCCAGTTGGAAATACTTTGTGTTAATCATTTTTATTTTAGACATTTCTAAACTAAAAAAAGTTGTTATGAGATAAATTTAAGGGCTGTTCAAATAAATTACACCAACAAGTGATTGTAGTYTTCAAGGACCAAAGATGGGATATGACCTCCTGTTTGACACAAAACACGTTAGACTCATTATGCTGTTTAAACACAGTGTTCTTCCCAAAAGGATTGGTAGTTTTTCCTTTATCTAAATAACAAGGAATTTGTCGGACTTTCGGTGTGTGACCGCAAGATAAATACTGTTTCCTCATTTGTTCATGTGTGAAGATCCATTATTCACCTGTAGGCCTGTCGTGGTAAGAAATAAATCAGTTAATCACACAGTACCRGGTAAATTAAAATGAGCTTGATAATTTTCATTTACCTGCTTGTTTTCTTCATGTCTCCCTGTTTTCTACTCAKTAGTGTAGGGAAGAGTGAACTCTGGCATCAGGTATTTACCAGGCACATGGTCTCCAGGCTCTGTAGCCTCAGAGCTCTGTGAACAGCCGTTTACGAGGAGGGATTTTGGTTTTCAGATGTCTTTTTGTTCAGCTGGTGCCAGGGCACCGTGCCAAACCTTCGGTTTGCCAAAAGTTTTTTTATTTATATATTTATTTGTTTTACAATACATTAATTTTATTTTGTAAGCAGTGTTAGGGTGCCCGCAGTTATTTTATAAAGCCAGAGGAAGACGCATAGAGAGTCAGTTGTGCCGGCTTGGATAGAGGAGGCGGGAGGCAATTTTACACCTTCATCAGCAGCTTGTTGTGTGTTCTTGTTTATATCTGTTTAAAATGTTCTCCAAACAATATCATCGTCTATCGCAATAATTTCTAAGACAATTTATCAACCAGCCAAATTTAGTTACTGTGACAGGCAAATTCACCTGTAGCTAACAGAACCACCTGAGGACGAGGTTTCTTTGGGAAACGGCTGAACACTGCAGAGCTGCATGATGACTCCTGCTGTAGGACTTCCTTGGAAACATTTTTTTGTTGACAACAACCTTGTTTAGTTTTTTCTGTTTTTGTTTTTATTATTTAAACGGGTAAATCCCAGATTTGATTGGACCCACTGTGGTCTCTATAGTAAATTGCTTGTGTCAAACACAGAACAGTCTGTATTCACCTAATTAAACAGTGATAATGTTCAACAGTGAAGCATCTGATTGTTGCTAATGCGCTGCTTTACTGTCRAGGATTTTTAGACCCTGTGGGTGAAAGTCTTTGCTCTGACACTGAGCTTCTTGATTTCTCTCTTTATCATGTCTGAAGCAATGAAGCGCCTCAAACGCTCTGGAAAAAACACAAGTGTGTGCTGTGTTTATAAAGCTTAATGGAGAAAAGAGCACAGAGATACACTGTGCACTGAAATTTGATGCTGGAAAAGTTKGAAAWTTTTCCTTGAAAATGYTTGAAAAGTGCTTGAATTTTACTGTGGGAAAAGTGTACCAACCCTATTATTTATCATTGGTTAATAAGTAATATTTTCCTTTTATTCTTCTTTTTTAGGTTACCTGACAATAACAGCGATAAAGAAAATTCCCATGCACGCCTTTTGTCGTCTTCCCGCCTCCACTCCTTACGTCGCAGCGACTCTCAGTCCGAAGTCTCGACCTCCAGCCCTGTGACGAAGCACAGGTTTGACTACGTGGAACTGTCCCCTGTCCCCGTCTCCTCCGGTTCTCTCCCAGCCGGTCAGAGGGAAGCKGGAGAAGGACAGGGGCGAGAGCACATCCAGTGGCAGGAGGAGAGGAACACCAGCAGCCAATGGGAGGCCATTTTGTCRAGGGAGGGCACTGGCGTTGGATCGAACCAGAAGCTGCACGTAGAGGATGAAATTGAGAAAAAGTGGGCGGAGTTTGAACGAATGCCATTCAAAGATGTGAGCTCTTTACCTCTGACAGGATCGCGGTCTTCTAGCCAGTCAGCCAACGAGGCGCTGCAGAGGGAGGTAGTGCGTGGAGATGATTCTCTAATTTGCAAATTTACTAAAATGCAAATTAACCCTTCATCTGCCAGGATGAAGTAAAATATTTCACTTTCTGCCTCGTAACACCTTTTGCTTCTTTCTAACCTGCACCTTATTTTTTAGGAGTATTTTCCATCTGAAATGCCATAAATAAAGAATAAGTCTTATTTAATCTGAAAAGTWCAGAGGAGTTATTGTGGAAAATGCTTCTAAAAGGCTGCTCTGCTTTTGTGTGCCGTGATGTGTGTCTCTGTTTGGACCTGTAGTTTTGCTCTCTCTCTCACACATGAAAGTCATCCCTGTGGCGTTGGTCAGTGGGCTTTACCTCCACCTCTGTCTTCTCTCAGGTGGCGTCACTGAGGCAACAGGTAGAGCGACTACAACATGGAGGACGGGGAGGGGGAGGAAGAGCGCGGGGTGTTTGCGGTCCCGAAGCCCCCTGCAGCCGCAGCCTGGCAGCCATGGAGCGCGCTCACAAACAGGCGCTGGAGGAACTGCAGAGGCAGCAYGASCGCCAGATGAGGGAGCTGGAGAGGGAGAGGGACAGGCTGCTGCTGGAGGAGACTCAGGACACGACACGAGGTCAGCCCGTCACACTTTACCAACTTACAGCTTGACTAGAACTCGTATTTATAGGAACTTGGTCTCCTGGTGGACCAGCCCTATCACGTTTTTAAAATTGTATGTAACGGGAAGTTGTGACAACAATAATTACACAACTTGTGTTGCCAAATGTCTGACTTGTAGAAGGAGCTGCTGGTTAGAGTCTGAGAAGCAAAAGGATTGCATCTTTTACAAGTTGTTGAACACAAACATTTAACCTTTCATGTTCTGTATAAGGCAGCGTGGTATATGCGGTAGAGGGTAGAAACGGTATGAAGACATTTATACTCTACGTCCTATCATCATTACGTCATTGGACCTGTGTCAGCATGGCTGCGAGTGCAGAGACAACTGAGCAGGAGTTTGAAATATAATGAAGAAATTCTAGCTTTTTAAAACGCGTATAGAGAGACTAAATCCTCAAAATTTCCTCCTCCCGCTGTAGAAAAGTTACGTCGTGCCGCGGGATCATTTCCTCCTCTCCTCTCCGCTCCTCTCCTCTCCTCTCCTCTCGCTGCACGTCGCACAGAGCAAAGCTTTAACAACTGTGGGAAAAGCTTAATTCACTTTAAGCTCACTCCTACATATTGTACATATTGTACATAAGTTTTTAACACCCAATTGTCGGAGAAAAAAATGTTTTTTATGTGTTGTTACCCAGAGAGATTATTAAAAAAAAAAAAGACGTGGACATTCCTTCAGTCATAAATCCATCTTGCTAATGTAAAGTCGGCTTCTGCTCTGATGATAAAGATGAGCGTGCAGCAGAGCAGCAGCAGCTAAGTTCAGCAGCCAGAAGCTCATTGTTTGGCAGGCAGACATTAAAGCAAAAATGTTGGGTTTAATTAAGATTACAGTTTTCTGCAAAAAATGCTCTAAAAATTACATTATCTTTACTTTTTATGATAATTTTCTATCACGATATATACCGTTACCATGAAGGGGTTCAATTTATACCGTGATATGAATTTTAGGTCAAACCGCCCAGCCCTAGTTCTGTAGTATTATAAATATTATTATGACACRTTTATTAAAGTACAGATATACTGTATTTGAGTGTATAATAAGCTTTGAGGATAATGCGATCCCCTTTGAGCTTAAAAACATAAAAATCTAATCCTTGTGTATAATGCCACCCCTAATTTTTTTCATCTATGCTGTTAAGAAGAAAACATCTACTGTTGTTGTTTATATYGTGAGGAAGTTCAGCTTAAAGACATGTCCCAGGGGCGTTTCTGGTCCCCACCTGTCGTTTTGCTCCTCAGAATGACTGCCTAAAAATGCTGCAGAATTTCTCAAAAGTGCATGAAAGCAAGGCTTTGGGCATGTTTTTTTTTATAAGAGTATAACATTATAAACATGATATAAAACTAAAAAAAGTTGATTTTACATGATATTGCCCCTTTTAAAGTAGAACACCAGGGGTTTGGGCTTAAGTGATGAATGAACCAATTGGCGGGCCGAACTTTGGGCCGCCAGTTGGATAGCCCTGTAGTACACTGTCAAATACTATCTGTTTTCTTTCAAATAAAAAGGAGTATGGGCCTTTTTAAATAGTTTCAGCCAGCTGTTTCATACTGGTGAACAAAGACAAGACAATGCAGACATTAATRATATTTAGTTTTAATAATTGCAGTTGACTCAATTGTTAATTGTTAAAACCCTAAAGCTGTGTTTAGTTTCATAGTTCACCAGTTTAGATGCTTCTGATATTTATTCTTCTTAGCATACTCTTGTGTAGGTGTGTGTGTGTGTTAACGCTGGCTGAACTCCTGCTCAGGACAACTCTTATAACAGAAGTCGTCGGCTTGTTTGTGTTTCAGTGATGGAGGCTCTGAAGAAAAAACACAAGGAGGAGCTGGAGAGGGAGGTGGAGAAAGTGAAGAGGCTGAGCAGCGGGAAGTTTGATTCGCACACTTTAAGATCTCAACAGCAGTAAGTTCAGTTTCTGTTTGTGTGACAAAAATATAGTTTCCCCTCTCTGTGGGCACTYGTGGGTTGAACCAGGCCATGTTTTTAGTTTTGAACCATTAACTCCATCTTGATCTCAGCAACACATCATATGGTTGCAGCTCTACTTCACGTGTGTACTTTTGCACCTTCCAAGACACTCGTTCTGTTTRAGGTGGTGTTTTCTGCTGCAGCACCTCGGCTCTCACACACTACAGGCCCTCACTGTCAGTTTGTGGATGTTTCTTCTGCTTTTAAGCATTTGGCCACAAAAAAGGTTTTCTGTGAAATGAAGGATGACTTTGCATATGATGCAATAATCCAGAGTTCCTTGTTGCAAACCYAACACCGCTGCAGACACAGGGTCTTGTTAGCACTCGAAGAATGTGGAAGAATTCAGTCATGGCTTRGATTCCCTTTGAAAGCTTCAAGAATGTCGTCGACACCGGCTGTTTCAGGGCTGGATATTTTAGAGCTTATCTATTTCGACTGCTGGTTGCATTTTTGCATAACCTTCCTCATTTTTGTGGTCATTAGTCATGAGCAGTGAGAAGGTTTTAAACCGGTGCAGGAAATACTTGAAGTATTTGTTTAAAAAACACAGCATGCTTATTAAAGCTATTCATAACATTATTCATACAATATGAWACAACCACGCTGTGATTTGTTTAGTAGAATATTTGTTTAAGGGGGAGACTGTGGCTCAATCTAACTGACATATGCAAGCATAACATGTTTCTCTTTTTTTATTTATTTATTTTATTTTAATTTTAATTTTTTGTCTCGTGCTGCTGCAGGGAAGAAACTCAGTCCCTGCAGAGGGAGCTTGCCGGTCTGTCTGAACGCTACTCCCAGAAGTGTCTGGAGCTGAACCGAGCCGAGCAGGCAAACGCCGAGAGAGAACGGGAAATCAGCCGAAAGGAGAGGGACATGGAGCAGCTGAGGAAAGAGAACTTGGTGAGTTCAGAGCTCTTCGTCCGCACATGATAAGATGATGTCACTGGTGCACGTTTGATAGACACTGATGTGAATTAAACCATTTATAAACCCATTTACTGCAAGAGTGAGAATAAAGTGTTTTCTTTCCCAGGATTTAAAGGCCCGTTTGACAGAGGAGATGACTCAAACCCGATCTCCAGGCACAGATCTGAGCTCAGAGAACCACAAAGGCAAGCTGCCCTGTGAATTCGAGGTATTGTTGTTTTTGAAACTGATCGTGGGTGGCTTGTATCTGGCAGGGCTGTTTTTAGCTTCTCTGTTGTGGGTGTGAAAATGTGCAAACCCACTTTGGCTTGTGTGTTGTGTAAGAACGCAAATGTATTTACAGCACGATAGCTCAGTGGTTAGCACTGACGCCTCACAGCAAGAATGTCCTGGGTTTGATCCCCTGTTTGGACCTGGGGTCTTTCTGTATGGAGTTTGCATGTTCTCCTCGTGTTTGCGTGGGTTTTCTCCAGGTACTCYGGTTTCCCCCACCCCTAAAAACATGTACAATAGTTTGCCTTCAGSCCCAGGCCGCCCTTGAGAAAGAGATCTTTGCTCTTAATGGGATTTGCCTGGTTAAATAAAATAAATAAATATTAGCATGATTTTTCTTAAATTTATAACCTCACTTGTCTTGCAGGTTCTCCTCAGAATGAAAGAGAATGAGATCGAGTATTTACACAAAGAGATCAGCTGTCTAAGGAACGAGCTACAGTTTCTCAACATGGTATTRTTTATTGCTTTATTTGTCACAAATATTGTTTGTGTCTTTGTTTTATACAGAACATATAAACATGTACAGTAATTCACTTCTGCCCTGRTTAACCCTTCACTCTACCTTTACTGTCTCTGTACAGTTTACTATGTTTTAACTCTACAAAGCTCATTTACTGTTACAGGTACTTTCAGTTCTGAGGTAGGTGGGATAAAGAAACTAGTTWTGGAGACTTTTATGTCTATAAATAAAGTCCTGCTGAAGTGGCTTAGCCTGCAGACATGCAGTGCATCAAATTACTGAGACAAATGTAGGCTATAATTTATAAAACACAAAGTGTAATTTGTTTCACGGCAGATGCGACGTTACATCACGTTTGCCTGAAGGTGAGCTTTGAAGATGATCTTTATTTGTTGCTGTGCAGGAAAAGCAGCTGGCCTGTGAGCGATACGCAGCGGTGCACAGCGAGCTGAACGGGATGAAGGGCCGAACGGAGCGGGAGATTCAGAGCCTGAAGGAGCACCTGAGGCTGGCCATGGCTGCTCTGCAGGAGGGACAGAAACTGGGCAACAGCCTGGACCATTGACAAGCTGTTGCTGGTACTAATGCTGTGAGACGGGGGGATGAGTGTCGCCGAAATACAGGCTAAGACATTTGAAGAGACTTTTTGTTTCTCTCTTTTTATACTTGACTCTTCAGTTGCTGTGGTGACTGAGTCAAAGAGATATTTGTACAAAACTTGTACTGTTGTTTCAGGATCTTAATGACTTGGCTTTCAGTAAATCTGCCAATGAGAAGCCATAGGTTTAATTACACTGGGCCTTATGTGATATATTAAAGTGCACTTTTTCCTTTTTGTTWTTGCTTTTTTGGGAGCGCAAGTTAGTATGGATACACATTTGGTCTTAAAACTGGAACATGTTTAGATTTTTGTTGTAGATAAAGACTGTCTCAACTTTTTATATATCTGCTGTTATCAGCTTTCCGTTTTAAGTTTTGCCTACTTCAGGAAAATGTCACACGTCTTAATTGGAAGCTTAATATTTACTGTAGCTGTTTTTCTGCAAACTTTATTAAACCTTGTTGTTTTGTTTATTAAATATGTGGAACATACATTGGGAGTCAAACATGGCAATACAGCACAATGTGTAAAGCTGAGTGAATGAGAAACAGATTCAGACTTGTTGCTGGTGTTCTTGCTTGTTCAAGTTTCTGCATCTTCAACACGTGGATGAGAACTCCCAAGCTTCCTGTCTCTCCTGATCCCTCATTGGCATTTTCTGTATGTGCCAGCACCATGACAAATGACAGGTGTTGCATCAATGAGCCAATTATATTTTTATAAATATATATATATGCATATTTTTTACTGATTGAAAGGTATTGTGACAAAATAATTTAACAACCTACTTTTTAAAAATAATTTTCATATTTAATGTATTATAGAGCCAGCATGGTCTTTGTAAATTATACTCATTTTTGCAATCAATAAAATGACTTCAGCAGGAAAAAAGGCTGTTGTTTGGTTAAATTGCAGACTGTAAGAAAAGTTGTTCCTCAGTATTTTCATCATATAGAAAGTCTTACCACATGAATTTTTAAAMAGTTTGTCTCATGTAATGACGCTATGAAAGCTATTTCAATGAAAACAATCTTTTAAGCCAACAAATCACACTAATGTGCAATAATTCTATCTTCAAAGTCCCATCTTCACATAGGCTACTGTATAAACATTTCTTTCTATGTTTCTTTTTTCTCCAGCATGACTCAGAAATAGGAAAACTTATATTTATTCATTATCATAAATATTTAGTTTACTAACGTAGGTTTGAGGCACTTTTGCCAGTCGGTCAGTGTCGTTGAGCTCATTTTCCCGCTAGGGGGCACCAAAGGTGTGTTTTTAACCGGAAGTGCTTTGACGGCTWCAGCTTCAGCGGTCATGGCGTCCACTGTTGCGACCAGTACGGTAGCTGGTGCTGCTAAAGCGGTAAAACCCATATTTAGTCGTGATTTGAACGAGGCTAAGCGCAGGGTCCGAGAGCTGTACCGAGCCTGGTACCGGGAGGTGCCGAATGCAGGTATGTTGGTCCGCTGTGGTGTTTAATAAGAGACTTTAGCTTCAAGGTCGACTCCATTGCTCGTCTTAGCTAAGGCTAGTAGCTGCTAAAAACAAATTTAAAACCGGAACAGTATTTATTGCCCAAATGTTTTCTAATGTTTGTGTCTAATTCATTTAAATAGGAAAATGTGGTATTTTTTTGGAGTGCTGGTTATCCCATTTTTAGAATTCGTTTAATAAACAACAATAAAACGAACAGTAAACATAAACAATCACTTATTTTCTGCAGTGCATGTTTGTTTATTAGTTTTACGTTGGGTCATTGAACGCATCGCAGTAGTTGTCATAAATTTACTCAAACCAAATTTAAGATTATTTATTCACTGCTTAAATTAGGAAATGTACTGACTTATCTAATATGTTTTTTTTTTCCAGAGGTACAAACAAGATTAACTGTTTTTAGAAGCTGTGCATAAATTGTATATATTGTGACTGTCTTGTGTCTGTTCTGGCTCTTTATATTCAGCATTCTTGTCAAATGTATGATCAGACTTAACCACATTTATCTATCAGCTGTTCTGTTGCAATAATTCTAATYTGTGGAACAAGCTATTATTCCTCATTAAGTCAAAATAGAATAACCCAAACACATCGAAAAATAAAAAAATAAAATAAAATTCGGTCTGCATTACTTTCACTCAACCCATAGCTTTCTTATCATGTTATTACAGCTGTTGTTTTATTAAGACTGAAGAGCAGCTGGCCGTGATTTCCTGGATGAATTCAATATGTTGACTCTCTGTCTGTCTGCAGTGGCCTTGTTTCAGTTGGACATCTCCTCACGCCAGGGAAGAGATAAAGTGCGGGAGATGTTCGACAAGAACAAGCACGTCACCGACCCTCGTGTGATCGACATGCTCGTCATTAAGGTATAATCGGCAGCCTGGCACAAGTTTCTGACCAGTTTTGTTGGCTCTTAAATCCCTTGTTAGCTGAGTTTAATGTTGATGTTGACTGTTTATCAGATTAACATTGGACCTATCCAACACTGTGTTAAGTAGTTTTTAATTTCAGGGTAAAATGGAACTTGAGGAAACAATCAACGTCTGGAAGCAGAAGACCCACGTAATGCGTTATTTCCATGAGACTGAAGTACCTCGACCAAATGACTTCCTGTCCAAATTCTACAAGGGTCATGACCCGTGAACTTTACAACTGCTAGCTGGTTTCTGACTCATTTGGTTCTGTCCAGTGTGAAAGATGTTCCTCTTTGGTGTAAATATATGCTTTAACACTCACAAACCTTTAATTGTCATTTGTTCAGTCTCAGGTTCAGGTTTTGGTCACAACAGATACTCTCACGTCAGAGCAGCTCTCTACAAGAAGCCTGGAAGACTATTTAATAAGCTTTCRAGAAGCTGGCTCTAACTGTTATCATGACCAACATGGCTGCTTTTTTTTCTTTAGAGTTGTTTTATTAACATTTATTCACTCAATMCGCTGTTTTAACAACACATAAGATAAAAGAAACACTTCAAAACTCATATGGAGTAGTCCTGATAGAAACAAAGCTCCCTTTCTAACTTTACATCACATACTGAAAATGCTGACAACTGAATTTATTTAACACACGTTTGTTCTGGTCTAATGAAGCCACAAACTAAACCTCGCTCAGATGTTTCTCCTTTTATTAAGACTGAAGCAGTGCGTGCAAATACAGAATACAAAGAGCTCATGATAGCAGCACTGTGTCAATAACAGCTAAATCCCTGAAACCAGTGCAGACCATTTAAAAACGCCAGCAGAATCTCCAAGGAGGTATTTATTCACACCTGCAGGTGATCAAACAGGATCWTCTGTGGAGGAAAGAAATGGAGGTTACATTTTAATCTTAATGGGTTTGGAAACAGCTGCAAGACAAAAAAAAAAAAAAAAACTAAGCTTAGCAATGCATCAAACAAATCTCATGTCTGGACTGCATCTGGAGCTAATGGAGTCAGAAATAAATCTATATTGTGATGATCTAAAACCTATGTGAGAGTGATTCAGTAAGCCGAACAGAAAGCTGGACCTGACCGAGAGCATGACTGATTTAATTGGCTTCACATTAACAGATTGAAGCCAAATCTATTGGCATCAATGTGAGCAACAGTACCTACACCCACTGTCTCATTTTATTCACTTTTAAAAACCAACTACATCCTCCACATTTATCTGCTTGTAGACCTGTGGTATTTAATGCTAAACATTTAGTTCCAAGAAAAAAATAAAAGATGAAACCATAGATTAAGGGTTTTTAAAAAATGTTCTAATCTGGACAGATCCTCATAAATTAACTACATTTTGCTGGTTAATTCTGAAGTGCAGCATAACTATCTGGTTTAATGGATTGAAAAAAGTATTTACACCCTCTCATCCTCTGTTGTTGCTGAAAGGATTCAAACTGTCAAGTATTTCTATTGGCTAATCCATAAAATGACCAGATTTCTGAAATTAGATTGAGAGAAATTGAGGTCATCCTAGTATATTTCTTTATATAAATGTTAACTTTTTAAAAAAGTAACTAGTTTATTCTACTGATCCAAGGGTGGAAATTAGCACCGGCCACTGGCCAAATGCGGGTAAAATTATGAAGTGGCATGTAGATCTGAACAACTGCGTTGAATGAACTACTATTAATGAACTAAAARAATTGCATTCAAATCGCGCTACTGACCTTTGTCAAAACCTCAGTTTCGTTTTTATTCTGCATTTCAGAGCCTGTAGGATGTTAAACATTAAATAACATCTTCCAACCTGCTCTGCAGCTAGAAATAAATCCCCCTCCTCCTTTCCTGCGTGTTAAACTTTAACGTTAAAAGTTTAACGCGTTGTAAAGTGCCCGTTTAGTGGTGCTTATGGCTTTCCATAGCAGTCCCAGCCGACAGAGGAGGCCCAAAGACATGTTTACAGACTGACTCATTTAGTGCTTAGAAATACAGTATACTAAAGTCAGCCTGAGTGAACAGTAGTGGCCAAAACTTTGGAGAGTGACTAAACTTGTCACAAATTTAGTTGACAGTTTTTATGATGGGATTTGCATATACTCCATAAAAACGTGTGACAAAAAGATAAAAAAAAACCCAAACAAAAACACTTTGTAATAATACCCGTGATGTAGCCTGACCATTGCCTTTCTATACAATTTTGCTCGATTTGAAGCAAAGCGTAGACCAAGAGGCTGGTTTTTACCAGGCTACCTCTGAGAACTTTATACCTTAAAACCATAGTCTGGCAACGCAAACTGTTCAATGTCAAATTTATTTACAAAAGCTGACCAAAGTGCTTCACAGTTCAGTCAAGACTTGTATCAAAAAACAGATAAACACAATACAGAAACATAATATTGTATATAAAAAGCTCTAACTGAACCTCTAATCAAATGCCAAAGAAAAGAAATGGGTCTTCTTCAGCAAAGATTTAAAAACCTCGACTGTCTCTGATGACCGTTCAAAGTAGCACCACCTGGTGTTCGTATGGTAAAACAGCACCTTCTTACAACGTAGAGAAATAACACGATGAAAGGAAGGTATTTGAAGTATTTTACTTGCATTATATGGAATTCCATCATACATTTAAATAAAATGCAACAATGTTCAATCATACAATCTTTGAAAAAAAAAACAAACAAACCCTGACATCAAACAAAAAGAACAAGCCTCAAACCAATACAAACTGTACATCATTAAATATTTACAAACCATCATGTTTCTTAGTGCTGAATAAAAAMTAAATTAGCAGCTTTGACATGTGACCAGCTGAAATGAATACTACCTTAGAAGACCTCTATGCAGAATATTTTAATGCATTCACATATTCTTGGATCATATTGTGCTTCACTGTCAGAAACAAACTAGTATAAACTTACTCTAATACAGTAAAATAAATAACAAACTTCTTAATGATAATTTAATCATTGAAATTTACATTTTTACTGTACAAAAACAAAAGAAAATATAAAGTGAGAAATCTTTCACAGGTAACAGAAATTCAGTTTGTTTAGTGAATGTAACAACATGTAAACAGCTTTAAATGAAGTGGAAGTGTCGCCATAGTGCAGAATCGTTCCTGTTAGCTCCTCGTGCAAAAGGTAGTTTCAGTGTTCCATCACTAAAAGAAATGCAGATCCATAAAAAGATAGTTTAGTTAACAGAATACTAGATAAAATTGTCCAACTAATACATTTGAGAAATTTTCTTCTCCAAAGCCCAACAGTAGTTCAGGACGTACTTCTGTAGTTATCTGAACTGACAAAATGTTTTTGTTTTGATGTAGAAACTATAAAAAGTAAAATGTGCAGGCAGCACTTGATGTTCTATTTTTTAATGATTGATCTTAAAAAAAGATTTTAACTCAAATCTCACTGGACATCTGGATTCACATAGCAACTCTTATTCAAGTAGGGGGTCTACAGTGTAGGGGAGTTTCTTGGCTGTGTGGGTGGAGTTTGGCAAAACTGATTGTTCGAATTAACTTGTCTTTTGGGGCAAACCAATGATGAAGTAATGTAGTAGAAACATTATTGTGAACATGCAAATATAATTTGTCTTTTCATAGTTTAAAACAGAACAATGTATCAAATAAAAATTCTAAACAAAAACATAAATTCCTGTCTGAATTTGACAAAAATTATTAAGGTTAAGGTACACTTTAAAAGTGCAAACTTCCACATTTACACCAGGATTTTAATGTTGATAGACCAAGTTCATTTTCAGAGAGAGGAGGGGAGCTCAAAGGCAGAAATGGAGAATAAAAAAGTCAGCTACAGAGTGAAGTAGACGAGCTATTATTTGTTTTAGAAGAGGAAAGAGGAAGAGCACCGGTGGCATTAATGGTATTTTTTTGCCATGTGCCAAATATTAACTGACCATAGTTTTTCTGATGCTTAATTGCACACAATATGATTTTGCCCAACTGTACTGGGGCCATCCTTTGCTCACAAAATCTTCTGCTATTATAAAAGAATACTATGAACATTTTAAATCTGATCATTCTTTCACATTTTAAAATCCCAATCTTAGCACAATAAACCCAGAGCTGCACATTTGGAGGAATTGCTTTTCCAAATTTGCAGGAGAAGCAAACTGATAAAAGAAGCTCATGCACTGCCATCCTGATTAAATGTCCCATTTCCTGTGTTTCAAACGAGCGACTCTGGCTGTTTTACCTGACGTTTGAAGTAGAGCCGCTTGAAGAACGTGTTCAACTCAAAGGCTCCAGGTTTAACGGCGTTCTCCGTTTTGCCGTTTTCCATCAGCCTGACGATCTGTCCCCTGCTGACGGCGGCTCTGAGGCTCGTGCTCTTCACGATCTGCGCGCTGGGCTCAGAGTCGGGTGTGGGCCGGGACGACACAGTGATGTAGGTGGCATCTTTCAGATGCTCCTGGTAACTCACTGCCAGGAGGAAAGTTGTTACACCGTTTTTAATTTTTTTAATTTTGTTTGCCAACTTGTCTTAAAATAATCTGATTACTAAAAGCGAATGAACTGAAACTGACGAGTGCAGAGTTTCGTCTACCTGCAGAGGTGACGGCTGTATCTGTGGTGTTGCTGAGCTCCAGCAGAACAGTGGGATACGCAGGATGCAACAGGAAGAGCTTTCTGATGAGCGGCCTCGCTGCAGAAACGCCCGGCGCCGTCTGAGTGGACAGTATGGACAGTTAAACACAGCAAACGATGACAGAACTCATCTCCTGGTGAGCAGAGCAGACTCACAGTAGTCCTGGTAGCATTTCTCTGGGTTCTGATTGGATCGCTGGCCCAGAACAAGAAAGCTGATTGGCCAGTTGAGGTGGATATTGCTGAGGTTTCCAAAACGAGGCGGGGACACACAAAGTCAGCTGCCCAGAGGACGCTGCCACTCGCCCCGTTAATTATCTTTGCCTGAAGAGACAGAGTGTCAACGAATGATGTGATCAACAAAAAGCACATTTCTGAGTTCTGCAATGATTTTAAAAAGATGTTGTTGTTTTTTTACCTGCATGGTGCCGTTTGCTGAATGTTGAACAAAAATATCAAGGATTCCATCATTATTAAAGTATCCCAGAGCTGGCTGACTGAAACAAAACAAACAAAAAACATTCAGGAAAACTTTCCAAGTTCTTTTCATCTTTTCAACAACTCTTCAGTCCTCTCATGTCATGTCTCGTGTGTATGAGATATTGGACACTGGTGTTATGAAGCAACCTCTAACTCAGATTATTATGTTTGACTGGTCAGGAGGAGCTGCTACCTGTGAATAGGAGCCAAGCTGAAAGCCCACTCTTTGCGTAAGTCCCGCTGTCGGACCACCGACAGCGTGCTGGCACCGTAGACCAACACCCAGTCGCTCCTGGTAGAATTCAGGTTAGAAGCTGTGTCCAGGCTGTTGCGGTCGATCCTCCAATCCGCCACAAGAGGGAGCAGGAACTCCACGCTTTCAGACCCTCTGGTTCCGAGGAAGACAAAAAAAGGAGAAAGTTAGATTTGTTGTGGCATCAGTGCAACGATGAGATCTCGTGAACTCTTAGAGATTTCAATCAAACTCTAAGAAAGTACACATCGGTACCTGTGAATGCGTATGATGGAGAAACCCGTTTTATTGAGGCCCTCCCACACGGTGTCCTTCTTCCGAAGCGGTTGTGGGATGGCCATGTCTCCAAAGGCGCGAAAGTAGATGTCTTGCAAAGAGATGGCCTGGATGTTACCTGAGCAGAGCAGATGAAAATGTAAAAACACATGATATGAATGGTTAAAACTAAAACATCCATAGCTACACAAGGTAGGAGTGTTAGAAAGTATCGATACACTGAAATACTGTAATATTTCCTGATACTCTACCGATTTCTAACTGTGGCTTAAAATGTGAACTTTCATGCCAGCGGCTCATTCTTGTGTTGCATTTTAGTCTCTGACCACTTGTTTGCAGCAATCAGCCATTTGGCTCCTCTAATCCCGAGACCACGGACTGCAGCCTGCCATCAGAACCCCACAATACAGCACACAGGTGGGTTTTTATCTAGCGCCATGAGCTGAAAGGGGGTCCCGGACGGACAACACTGAAGTGACCAAATGCAACGAGCATACGAAACACTGAGGGCATTGAAATGATCGTTTACTGCAGGGGTTCTCATGCCATTTGGGACTGGGGACCCCTTACAAGGGTGAAAAAAATTCCAGGGACCCCCTCATAAACCAAATGCTGTTTTAAAAGATAATTTATTGTCATTTCAACAACTTAATGCCATGGGAATATAATTTTTTATTAAGTTTATTACGTTTTATTTGTTCATTGTTCTCTGTGCATTTTTAAAAATAAAAACCAAATTAACATTTTAGTAAAAATGTTTGAGGACCCCCAAGATACCTCTCACGGACCCCTGGGGATCCAGGGACCCCAGTTTGAGAACCTCTGGTTTACTGAACTTTCAGCACAAGATATAGACTTAAGTGTGGTGGCCGACCATATTTTTTATATAAAAAATATATTATCAAACTTTTTAATGGCACATTTGGCCTAACCACTGAAAACATGGATGAAATATCTTTTATCCACATCCAGCAGTCACTGTGGGAGGGGCAGGGGACACCTGAACAGGCCACAGGTTCATCACAGGGCCACATAGTGACAGAAAACCGTTCACCCCGGAGAAAACCCACACATGCATGGAGAGAACATGCAAACTCTACCCAATAGGGTACCCGGCAGGGATTCGATTCGGCAACCTTATTTCTGAGATGCAGCTCTACACACTGAGCCACTGTGCCACCCAAAAGGAAACATAATACATACAAAACACACCAAGTTTTTTTAAAATTAGACTTTTTTGGAGAAAAAAAAACCCAATATATTGAATCAAGACCTCAATGTCATGACATGGATCATATCACCAAACCAACACAACCCTGACACGAGGGACAAGGATTAGCTGTACGAGTATTTGTCTGAAGGGATGTTGGGATTCCCGCTCGTCACCTAGTCCAAACAGGATGTAGAACGCTCCTTGCTGCGTCTCATGCAGCAAAGGTCCGATGAGCTTCCCTTGCCCTGTGAGGTTGAAAGGCACGGGATGTCCGAGCAATGCTCCCGTCTGTCCAGAGATCATAGTCAGGGACAAATCCATGGACTAAAAACGGGAAATAAATACACGTAAAGTTTCTTACAACCACTCTACAGTGCAGTCTAGAAGAACACAGAGGTGTTCAGTGATTTGTTGGGAATAAAATAGGAAGATGGAAGCTTTACCTCATCAGCAGGAAGAGTGGCAACAAGCAGGTCAGGGACCGAGTCGCCCTCGATGTCAGGGAGTAAAACTGCCTGAGACACGATGTTCTTCAGCGTGACTGTCCACAGCCTCTTACCTGAAGAGTCAAAGACTTCTCTGAGCATTTTAACAATCCAGTCCTCACATCATTTTTATTTTAAATATGAGTAGAACACTCACAATATAACAACACAATATGTAGAATATAGAAATACAATAAATAAATAAATAAACCCTAATTACTCGGCTGAAGAGTTCAGAGCTTTTTTTTTGGGACTAGCCCTTCTCTACCTGAGGTGCTGATGACCGCCGTGAGGATGGACTTCCCAATGAGGAGGCAAACATTTGATGGCTGCGTGCTGTTCCACAGACCACACTGGATGTACATCACAGACTCAGGCATGACTTTCCTCCACAGCACCTGACCGCTGACAGCTGACACAGCCACTGCACTGTAATCTGGGATTAACAACAAATATTAAAACACAGACAGCAGCTCTAAATATCTAAAAAAAAAAGTAGCTTAGATACCAAACTGGGATCCCCCTCCCCTTTATGCCCATATAAACATGACTGAGTCAACCATAAAGCTGATTTTGTACACTTGACGTTAAATTTGATTCATTATAAATCTAAAAAAGATCAAATAATTTGTAAACCGTAGAAGTGAAAGAGGGGGGCACTTTGTTTGAATTCCACCACTGACCTTCACTTATAGTCCAACGTCTGGTTTCACCAATCAGGCGTATTTAAAACTTACTTCTACTCTTTTGCGTTGTGTGTGTCTCGTTGGTCGACTCGGTGACGGCCAGAAGCACGTCCTCTACAGAATCCCCGTCAACATCCCACAAGGCCAGAGCAGGCGGAGTCAAACCTGAACCCAAAGCAGAAACAAGCACTGAAGAAATCCACCTCTCTTTTTCAGTTGTCTCCAACAATAAACTTTTCTTAAGAACAGTTCATTTTGTGCAGAGATAAACCAGGAAGTTGTCGGATTAAGGCTGACGGTGCTAAATGTGACCCATCATATCAAAATGAGGATTAAGTCAAATTTGGTCAAAAGGACCCAATTACATTTACCTACATTTTTATTCCTGGATCATTCTGATATCATAACAGAACCAGAGATATGCCTTAATTTGTCTTGTTGGTTACAATAATACAGTAATATTTGGTCTGATTCCTAATTTTATGTCATTTTTATGAGGAATTTTTCATTTCATTATGAAGAGGAAATCTCAAATAGTATTTGAATATTGACATTTCCCAGCTGGAAAGAAACTAAAACATTGCTAACTCACAGGGAAAATCACAAAATTTAAAAAGGTGTTTTTCCTCAAAATCAGTTTCTTTGTTGCTACTCCTCAAAAAAGTGCTTTTTATGATTATAATTTCACACAGGTCATTCAAATGAAACAGTGATGAGGCATTTATTTGTTTTGACAAAATACAATTTTTGTAAGTGTTTAATCAAAATACTACATGTACCCATTTCTCCATATATCAATTTTAGACTTAATCCTGGTTTCGATGTGATGGGTCACAAAATAGGCACTCGTGAACTTTAATGTAAGGGTTGCCGTCTCAGTCTAGACATGTAGACTCCTTGGTAAGTGTTAGGTGAGAGACATTTGGAGCACCGTTCACTTAATGTGCATGTCAACAAAGTAAGCTCTTCATGAGCGTTTATGTTTTCACTTTAATCTGAAAGAACAGTAAATCTATGAGTTTGTTTGTAATTCACGTGTTTAAGTTTTGAGTAAAAGGTTTTTTACCGACTTTCTCTCCCAGAGCTTTCTCCCACTGCAGCTTCTTCTCCAGCTCTCCCCTCTGACAGGGCACGAGGAACACGCACAGCAGCACGATCATGGCGGCGCAAACCAAAGGCACCAGGAAGAACGCGCTTCGGACCAAATTCTTCATTCTCATCCTCTTCTCCTTCTCCCCTTCGGTGCCGTGAACCCCGAGCCCGGAGCCCTCCGACGTCCTGGCGCCCCCTCTCTCCTCCCCGTTCTTCTCCATTCCCGAGTCCCTGTGGTTCCGGAACTGGCCGTTTTTCAGCTCGCCGCGATCCCGCCTGGATTTCCCAGAGATGCGCTCCGTCCATTCGTCTTCTTCCTCCTCGTCTTCCTCTTCATTGTCCAGGGCCTCATTGAGTCTTTCTGATTTGCCAGCGTGGCCGTTTCTGGGGTAGTTGAGGACAAGGTCATCTTCTTCGCTCTCGTCGCTGTCGGCCTGGGTGAGAGGATCATAGTCCCCGAGCTCTGAGCCCTTCTTCCCTGAAACACACAGAGGCAGCGAATGAGTGTTCAGTGTTTTATGAAGTATGCAGAATCAATAGGTTACGGCTTTACGTGTCTAAATCCACACTTTAATGAAACCATTATCCCTTTAAATACATCTTCTTAAATGACTCATCACATTAGGATAATATTAAAATACATTTAAACTAAAATTTGTCAGTATAACTTAAACAAACTCACTAGGAACATATAAAAACTACACCATTTTGTGCCGTAATTTCTGTTGCAGACTCAACTGGCTTTTTTATACAATTCATTAAAAAACATTACAGATCTTTTACGTTTTTTGATTGATTTGATTTATTTATTTAACAGGAAAAGATTTTTAAAAATCATGTCTGACTCAGCATAATTGCTGTTTTACAGCAGGTTCCTGTTCTGCAGCACATAAAACACTCAGAATTACAGCATCACAATCACATCATTATTATTACACCATAGACACAAAGACAAACAAGCATACCAAATTTCAAAAAGGCAGCATTTGCAAAATAAGATGTCTAAATATGAGCACAACAGAAAGTGTCAAACGAGGCTATCAGGTCTTACCTACTGCCAGTATGAATTTGAAAACAATACCACAAAATATGACCATTCAGCGCATGTTTCTTTGTCATTATGTCCAAGTGTTGTCCAGTGCATCCTTTAGGTATCTCTAAATCATTGGAGCGCATGACTGTGATGGTGGGTAAACTGCCTGTAGGTCTGAGTCTGTGTGTGCTCTTTCAGACGACATGACGCTGTAGATATTACTGGCTCTGGAGAGGCCAGAGATCAACCCAGTTGGTCAAGAGAGGTGTTAAAGGCACAGTGTGTAGGATTTGTTGTTTTCAGCAACAT